CATATTCGTAATCAGGATGTCAAATAACCCCCGTATACAAGTTTTCATCGATTTTGGTGATTCAGGGTATTTTGGCCCCGGCGCCTGTGGCGCGGCGCCAAAATACCCTAAATCACCAAAATCGATGAAAAGTTTTGGGCAAAGCGGGTGTGATATTCGTGTTCAGGAGGTCGAAGTACCACTGTAACAAATTTCCATCCAAATCTGCCCCTCTAGAAAAAAATCGATAAAAAATTGGCCTGATTTCGGCAGACTGGGGTAGGAGTAGTTCGATAATGCCAAATACTACAACAATACAACCTTAAAAACTACTAGAAAACAAAAAAGAGATCTAAAATACCAAACAAACGACAAAAAACTCACCAGAAGTACTAGGAACTATGCATTAGTTTTTGAATATTAGTTGTTCGCGGTCATCCGCACGCGAGCCCTAATACACGCGCTAATACAAGCGCATTGGTGCGCGCTATTTTACGACCTGGAGCCAATTTCAAGCCAAACACTCGAAAAGTACCCCTTTTTGAACACCCATAACTTCGTTGAAAGTGAAGCTCTCGGAGAGGGGAAAGAATGGGAGGGAGGGGAAAGAGGGGAAGGAATGAGTGGAGCTAGGTTGGCTCTTGTACCTGAGTTTGAGCGATTTCAAAAACATTTCTTTTCTAGAAATTTTCCCCGTTGTGACCCTTGCGTGATCATGGGGGGCCAACCACAAGTCGCTACGCTTTGGACATCCATGGCAAGCTTCATACACGGCCTTTCGTAAAAAAAGAACTGTGCCGGAAGCGAAGCTTTCTACTTTCCAGCAAAACTTTCATTTTATCCCTAGGCCTGCTATTCGAAAAAATCCCCCGTTGTGATCATAGAAAAATCACTCCCCCACGGCCCGAAAAATCAACCCCTCCGACGCCAGAAAATCTCCAGTTGGCTTTAAGACATTGGTATGCTTCTAAAACGCATGTTTTTGCCAAGGATACCAGGAAATAGTTCATTGGACGCCAATTGGCATCACCTCTGCATTGCGCCATGCATAGCGCTTTCACGCAGAGCTATTGGGAAGGTGCAACTTCTAGAAAGGGCTTCCTTCGTGCAGGTAGATGTGCTTGCACGGTCAGAAAGGCTCGGAAGTGTATTTTCATCTGTTCACTAGTTCATGGCGGATATTCATTGGCGCGGAGGTGGTGTAGTGACAAGTGGCGCGCTTACCACTCGCGCGGCGCCGGGTTCAAATCCCGGGTCGACTCCCGCCCAGGCCAACCAAGCCTTCTACCCTCCGGGGACGGTAAATTGGTACCAGATTCGTCTGGGAGGATAAAACACTGACTTGTACATCGGCTGGCCACCGCAAGTCATTGTATAGGCCACATCGCATTCAATAAGCCACTGCGATTCTGAATGGAAGTAGAATGCGTGCATCCCACAAAGGGGTTGATCAACGGCGGAGACTTTATCCTTTATCTTTTAATATTAATTCATGACGTCGTTGTGGGAGGCCATCATATTCCCTGTCATCGCCCGTTCCCCATTTCTGCGCTGGCAGGTTGCTTCTGTATTGTGTGGGTCTCTTCAGAGGTCCTTCACATGGATAAGTCTTTCATCATTGAAGCTGAACGACAGCTGGGTATCGCTGCACCCTCACTTCAGAAAGGTCCCCGCGCTTACCCCCCCCCCTCCCTCGAGGTCAAATACGACCCCCTGTTGTGATGATCACAACGATGGCGTGCCCTGCCCTTCCTCCCTGGACGAAGGATGAAGTTCGGCTGGTATTTTATTAATTGGAAGAGCAATTAAACAAGAGAAGCAAAGGTTACACGAGAGATGACAAATTATTTCACTTCTCCTATCGTCCGCTTCCATTCTAGCAGGTTTAGGTCCACAACATTCTATTTCTTCGCCATGAATAAGAACCATTTGGGCCACAATAGTCTATTCCTTTTCTAGGAATATGACCCACCTTGGCACAATGAGCTCATCGATGTCGACCAACGCTCCGAATTCGCTGTCTATTCTTAGCACACAATCATTATGAGCGAGAGAATGCGCCAAGCGATACAGCGACCGATTTGGATCAACGGTGGAAGACTGTGGAAGCAACGGCCATTTGATCACCGTCACGAAACCCTAAATTCAACGAGTGCTGCTGGCATTCATGGTCCAGCGAAACTATCTGCTCGTTCTTTCTACATTGTTTCACGGCTCTTCCTTCGTAATTTCGCAACAAATGCCGAACTTCTTCAGTAGACGAATGATAATACATGAAAACATGGCTGGCTCCATGTGACCGCCATGTTTCAAGAAAGAGAATTATCTTTGTCCAGTCGGTGAACCTGTATGAGATATAATGACCGCTAGGTAGAGGAATAGCAATACTTGGTGAGAAGTTCTATGAGGAACATCCGATTAAACTCCTTCGCCTGATGGATGATATCCTTTTAATTGTTCTAACAGTTATGCTTGTCGTGAAATTACTCTGCACATTTCGCGAAGCAATCCACATGCAATTGTTACTATGAGATAGAGGTTAAGGAGCAGGAAACTCTCCAGTATATGGGAGGCACACAGACGCTCAAGGTTCCCTTCGTCCTTAGCGGCCGTCGATGCAATTCCAGCTCTACATCACTGCCATTTCTTGAAAGAGTGACCTAAATGGGAGATTGAAGGTAATTGACGACAGTAACAGTTGATATATGATAATTAAGGTATTGGACTTTTTTTTACAACTTCAATATGTATGTCTGTCTTGTACTTCATCTTTCCTTATGTTCACGAACGAGCCGCACTCGACTGCGAAAAACTAGCATATCAAGGCAAGGCCATCTGTGTTGCTATGCGCGCATTTTTGTGTGGATGGATAAATTTACATTACAATTCCAACAGCCTTCACGCTTTGGGTGTAACCGACTACGGCAAGCAACAGGCGGTCCTGTTGCCGAGTGTACTCATACTTGCATAACGCCGGCATTTAACCGCATGCGCGCTTCGGTCGCGCATCGGGTGATCGATCGCGCCAGCGTACGACTGCGTCGACCGCTCGAGCATAAGATCGCGTCGCTAGTGCTAGCGTACGATTGTGTACCGCGACTGATTATCGTTTTGATTTCGTGATTTACTTCTTTATACAGAGAGTTGGTTCGAAATAGTAGAAGTTGTCGCACTTTTTAGTCCGTTTTTGATAGTTTCGTCCATTCTTTTCTTCAGTAGAGATTTAAATAACCTCAATGTTTACACATTAGTGGTCCGAAACCCAGAACGTGATGTCAATGCTTTTTTGGGTGCCTCTAAAGACGTTTCGAGCCTTGCGCTAAGGTACCAGAAAAGACTTCATCCTTTTGCCACTTCATGCAATTTCTTTTGTACGTTGTACAGCAGTGAGTTTCTAATGGAAGGTCGTCAGGTCGAAGTGGCCATTTGTAATGAGATGTAGCTCACTAGACGTGGTTTTGGACGCTGATCTCGAATCTGCCTTCGAAATTTGCAGAGCGATTCTCTGAAAGGAATTATGAAGGTTTGTTAGAATTAAAATGAAGGAAAACGGAGTCGAGCGCGGTTGCCAGCCAATTTGCATGAATAGCCGGGAAGCACCCTTACGTTCAACGGCGGCATGGTGTAGTGGTAACGGTCTTGCTTCGCGGTCATGCCATGAAGGCCTCGAATTTCTGAAAGCAAATTTCTTTTGCATTTCGTGGGGAATGTCTCTTTTGAGTCTAGAAAACACTCAAACGCCAAATGGGTGCCATATTCGTGTTCAGGGAGCAAAACTACCCTTGGGGACAGGTTTCTAGCCAGATGTGAGGTTTTGACCTAACTTTGAAAAGTGCGGTAGCAGTTGATCGAATGATGGTCACCAATAGTTCCAGGGCCAGTCTCTTGTCGGCTTGTCTTTGGACGGAATTTGCTTTTAGATACCAGGAAAACTGGAGCAGTAACAACATGAATGCGTAAGAAGTGGCAAGACGAGACCTTGTGCGGGAGAATGTAACTGCACTGAATAGGTGTTAACATCAACTGAACTAACCCATGGATGCTTCAGTTGTCGAAGTCAGGTCAAAATGCCAGATTTGGCTAGAAACCTCTACCTAAGCGTAGTGCGCCCTCATAAGTACGAATATGGCACTCGCTCAGCGCGAAAACGCCTGCACTGCGCGCCTGTACATCCAAAAATTCTCCTAGATCATAAGGCACTAAGCGCGCCAGTAAGCGAACGCAAACTGTTTTTCAGGCAAGTCAAGGAGAGCGCTAATGTAGTAGTGACGCCACAACCACTTTTTGCCACGTTTGCGCAAGAAGCAAAAAAGTTAAGCTCAGCAGGGATCCGATCCCACGACCTGTTGCGTGGTAAACGCGATGGAAAAAGCTCCATAACTTCGTTCAGTCGCTCTGCAAATTCCGAAGGCAGATTCGAGATCAGCGTTCAAAACCACGTCTAATGAGCTACATTTCATTACAAATGGCCACTTCGACCTGATGACCTTCACTAGTAAGATCTAAGTTGAGGAATTTGCAAATACGTACATACTTGTCTATAACTTTGATTGGAAAGTTTCTCAACAAACATGTCGTTCTTAGTACCTTTCCGGGGAGTGGTAGTGACTCGCTTAAAGAGTAGGGAGTCGACCAGTCAAAAATCCTCAACGCATTAATGGGCCCTGATATGTTTTGTTGGGAAAACTAATCGTATTGTTAAACGCCCGTTGCATGGAAGAGAGTGTAGGTAGTATGCTTGCCAATGGGCTTGTTTTCTCGAGCCCAGACACTTGTACGAGTATATGGCTGAATGACCGCCTGTTAGGGCTACTCCAGACAGCTGGTTCCTCATAGCAACGATGAATCTTCCCTTTACTGCTGCTGGTCCCGTAGCATCGTTTTTCGTTGAAGGGCGGAGTTCCCAGTACCGGGTCTGGAGGCGAAGTCAGTGGTAAGAATAGGGCGCCACCGGAGTAACTTTGCGCCCTCGCCTCAAAACTACGAAACTGACGCCAGGTTGTGAATTGCGTGTCTTTCTACCTCTCTCACAGTCTTTTGCTCCATAAGTCATCACAGACCATTCCTCCAAGGCAGTCGGCTATAATAATCGCAGTCCATTTGTTTGCGCACTGCTTATTGAAATGTATGGCAACCCACGCTTTCTGCAGAAGTAGCATTCTTCAATGTAGCATCAAATATGTAGGAGTTATATAGGCATCCAGGAGCCCAACCCCATGGGCAGCTTGCTTCAATTGCGTGAGCCTCGAAGGTAACTTGCTCCCCGCCGACGGTTCCATGCTGCTTCCATTCCGGACCAACGCATCGGTTTATTGACAGCACTCGAATCAAACTGCTGCAAACATTTAATAGTATGGCGATCCTTTTCAGATGACAGTCAAAACGTAGCACCTGTCTATCAAGTATGCTCTGTATAAAAATAAGGTCTCAGCAGACAAATCCACGCCATGCTTGCCGTTAAGGTACTCAACTCTAAATTATTGTGAATGAGCCTAGCAATGAGTGTAAATGGTGAGCGGTAAATGGTATGGCAAACAACTCACAGTGGGTTTTTAGTATTCATAAATTTACCAATAATTAAGTTCAAATAGGTCGTGTAGTAAATTAGCGTGAGAACAAGGAATAACAGAGCGCCACCAAAAAGCAAGTGAGCCTTGGTCATCTGAAAAACTCAATGTGATATGTTCACATCCGTCTAGATTTACACCAAAACGGACAAAGATATTCTCCGTGAAGAAATGAAAGAGATTAAGAACGACAACGACTGTTCACATACATACAAGTTAACCTCTTCTGTTTTGATAGCACCATATTTTCAAACATTTCGTGTTT